GGGGGGACTGCAGCAAATTTTGGGATGTCTGTAGCCCACCCTGTAGACCCGCCCCCAGCACTGCCACAGTCTGCCCATACCCCACCCACCTTGGCTGCAGCCCCATCCCAGTCCCCACATCGGGAAGAAACCGGTGCAGCCCCTGGCCTCGAGTCCACAATGGGCAGCCTGCCTCACCCTGTGCACAAATCCGGGAGGGCACGTGATGGGAGCCAGCCCGCCCCGGACAATCCACCCACAGCTCTGCCCAGTGCCCCACACAGGCAGCACCTGCCTCTGTGCCATTCCCTCCCTTACCGCGGGGGCCTTGATCTACACCCACTACAATCCTTCCCCCTAACAGACTTACCGGCTGGACACTGCTCTCTAAGCTGCCCGGCTGCATTCCTAGCTGTGGGCATGCTGCAGCTGTGCACGTGGCATTTATCAGTGACAGTATCAGCTATACTGGCCAGAAAAAGCTGATTGCCAATAAAATCAATTTTCCTTTTATCGGTGCTGATCTGATATGGACCAATATAGCAGTGCACCTCTACTATTTACAATAAATGAATGCCAGCTGCTTAACAGGATGATTCATGCTGTGTTCCAAGAAATTTGCAAAAAAGGGTGGGTGTTTGTCATGTTGGAGTGCAAAAGATTTCTGTGAAGAACAGGGCACTGCAAGGACAAAGATGAAAATGCAGAGGAAGAATGAGACAGAACAGACAGAATCAGACTAGAGAGAGAGAAGCAAAGAAATGAGAAAGATCTGCAAAGCCTTAGAAGTATGTATGAGAAACTGAAAGTTAGTACAGTGGAAATGTAAATCTAGTGAAGGAATTTTCATGCATGGAGAGAGACAATTTGACCCACTTTTTCATAGCTATAAAAAGTACTCCATTCTCCACACACTATGTCTCTGGGTCTGCTGAACTTACATTTTCATGTTTCATATGTTTAAGTAGCCGTAGTTCTCGGTAGGTTCTTTTGGCATGAATGATGGACTGAAATGGTCGGGACAGCTTCTTCACAGCCACTCGCAGCCCAGTTTTTGTGTCATAGGCAGAGCTATGATTAAAAAAGAATAAATACAGCGTTACCAAAAGTCATTGTGAAATATTTTTCAAATCTCCCTGGTCTTGGACAAAGACACTCATATTCCATTTTCCCCAGTGAAAACAGCTAACAAGCATCTTGTGTCACTTTGTCAAAATACAGCTTTCCATAGTTTATTTTCTCAGGAAAAGCGACAACACAGGAAGAAGCTCTCTTTTGTACATAGTTGAGCAGCAGTAATGATGGGCTCAAACCAAGTTCCCTGCTCACCACTCTGTACCTTCCCCTATGATGCATTCCTCCAAATGAAGAACATTTGATCCGCAAAACTCATTTCTGCATTGTTCTTTGAAAGTGTAGCTTCCTTGTGGATAAGAGCAGAAAGCCAGATAAAAGGAAAAGAAAAAGACCCTTATATTTTATTTTGTCCACTTAGCTGGCAAGTTCTTCAAGGAAAAAAAAATACGGGTAACTCCTCACTTAACATCATCCCAGTTCACGTTGCTTCGTTATTACGTTGCTCATCTGTTACAGAACATATTCATTTAAAGTTGTGCAATGTTAGGTTATGTTGTTTGGCCGCTGCCTGCTAGTAGGTAACTACCGCGACGTAATTGGATTCGCTTACCATCGTTTTGTTTAAAGTCACATCTTTCAAGGACATAACTACAACATTAAGCAAGGAGTAGGTGTAACAACTGTTTCTATCAGAGTCTCAACTTTGGTTTCAAACTTTAGATGGTATCATTGCACACCTTGTAATAGTTGCATTTGCTCTCTTTGAGCCTCTTAAACTGGGTAAGATTTAAACATACTCTTAACATGAAAAACAGCACAAGATAAAAGGGTTTTTAAGTAACTCTCAGTTTTGCTTTTTTTTCAGTTGTCAGTTCACATTTTTCTATTTAGCTTTTAAGGGAGCTGAAAATAATCTAGTTGTTTGCATTTCACATCCCAGTTTTCTTCCTGTTCCTTATCCAAAAAAGGTCATTCACTGGTAGCACAACTGCATCAGTAGATGCTCTGAGCAACACAGCTCCCAGGGGACAATGCTTCTTAAAAACTACTGCAAACCAGCGAAGCCACAACTATTCTCAACTGAACGGAGTCTATCATAAATTGGAAGGCCACAGCCAATGAGTATGAAGAAGATTGCAATCACTCAGCTCAGGATACCTCAACGGTCTGTACTTGAACACAAAACTAGTTACACTACCCCTGTAGGCTGCACTTTATACTCACCCACACTACACGGCCAAGAGAATTGCAGGAATTCCAAAAGGTCTCAATTTATTCAGTAGAGTTAATTAGCATGCACACACACACACACACAGATACCTTCACATTAGGTGCTTTACACTCCAAAGATATCCTCCAAAGTGTTATAAACATGGAGCTAGGTCACATTTGGGGCCTAAAAACGGAGTCTCTCTAAAGATCAGGGTTTGCTGAGTAATTTTTGGCTGAAGCAGATGACTGCATAATGGTTTTACAAGTACAGAACACAGAGCTACACAACAGCTGTCATGTTGGAAAGTGTTAAAAAAAAAAAAAAAAAAAATCACTAAAATTGGCATTTATCACAGCCTTAAAAGTTGTGTTAAGTTCATCTGTTACATTTCATCTGAAAAAGACTGAGGAAAAAGTGGCATGATCTAAAGCAGTTTTCAAACTCATTTAAAATAAGATAAATATAAGCTTAGAATGGGCATGCCTCTGAAATAAATCACAGCTTCCAAATTCCACAGACAGTTAGTTAGGTACTACTGTGGATAAATTTCTGGAAATTGCCTCATTACCTAATTTACCAGAACAGATCACTTCAAGGGAGGAGCAATTATAATTCAAAGCTTACGCTCTCTCTCGAATCCTGAACTAAACATTAGATTCTATGGATGCAATTCTTCTGTTATACTGGTAGAGTCCTTTTACACCAATCCAAGTAATTTTCTCAGCACCCTGACAACGTGAAGATTTAAATAAACTGGGTATAGAGAGTTTTGCCAAACCTGGATAAAATCTTTAATCTTTGTAGAACACTAGTTACCTTCAGTGATATTCTTTTCATTGCTTGTGGAGCAGCTATCTTTGGAGACCTGGTCCTCTCCTGACCAATTCTTTTTCATACGATCCTCTCTGTCCTGAAGATAGCTTGCTTGGGTTATAAGCAAGAAAACTATAACACTCAAAGTTAGATTGTTCTGCACTCACTCAATCCAAGCACTTTCAAATTCTCTCCTTACCTACACTCCAACCAGGAAACAGCTGATAACACAACTGAAAAAAAAAAAAGATTCAACACCTTTTTCAGTCTCTTGCTTGTAAAATAAGACCAGCTTGCAAAGAAAAGCTACAAGTCTCCCTGCCCTGCCTATATCTTACAGCCTGAAATACCATACAACAAGATGTACACTCTTAAACCCACTTCTGAAAATTAATTGTTCAAATTCTTTGCTCTCATTTTCAAAGCTCTGCCTCATGCCTCCTAATATAGGATTTGGTCTCCTACTCTGCCCCTGCTCACATAGTTTTTGCTAATATTACCTGGCTCTCTAAATTCTTCATAACCTCCTCCTCCCACTCACTATTTCACAGCTGTTTTCATACCATTCCCCATACTTGAAACACCCTTCACCAGTGAAGCAAGCAACCTCACTCTTCTGCAAAAGCTAGCTATAACTCATTTTTTTTTCCAACTAGACTTTAACAATTAAACAATCAAAACAAAAGTGAGGATGCGGACTCTATCAATTTGAAGACAATGGCAAGGTCCTGAAAAATTGTAAGGGTCTGGACACACAAACCAATAAGTTCATGTTAAAGGAAGGCATAGGTCAAGAATACAATAAAGCACAGCACAAAATAGCTTCTAATTTTCATGGAACAGGAGCAAATACACAAAGCAGTTATGGCAGAGCAGCTGCCATAAGCCCCCCCCCCCACCTTCTTTAAAGTGGAATATCTTACAGATACCGAAAGAGGGTTAATTTAAGAGAACCCAGCCAAAACAAAGCAAAACTTTATTTGCCAAAAATGGGATAGAAGGCAGGAGAGGTATGCAGCTTGTAGACTAACTAAATGAGATAGTGCATGCAAGCTTTCACGATCTTGAATTCACTTCATCAGACAGAGATGGCAATTGAGAAAACTGAGTAATACAGAGGATCCCCTTCTTTTTAACATGAGAGAGATTTATTACACTGTGTTGTATGCCATCTTTTCCTCTTGAAATGGATGAAACTTAGTAAAGATTCATGACTAATTTGTATGAGTGTGTTTTGGATCATGATGACTCACCTTATTTTGGAGCTGTGAAGACTACAGAACACCTCAAGCATCCTTAAAGAGGTAGTCAGATAATTGCTTGTTTTCTCTTGAGTCAACTCAACAAAATGCACTAAAATCCTACAATTTTAGTTAAAAGAAGATGCATCCTGGTATTTTCCTCTGTACACTGGCTCCTGATGGAATATAAAGGCAAGATCTGGATCTCTGTCACAGCCAAAAAGAGACAAGGTTCTTTGGGTGAATCTGATATATTTTATTAGACCAACTTAAATAGTTGGAAAAACCATATTAAGCAATTTTTCCCCCAACTATTTAAATTGGTCTAATAAAAGATATCAGATTCACCCAAAGAACCTGGTCTGCCTGTGTCCTTAGATCAACATGGCTACACCCTACATAGCCAAAAGGAAGCATTTCATGGAACTTACTCGTTACCTCAGGTCATCGTCCTCCACATGGCATCCAGTTCACAACTACATGCATCTGGGACAATGAAACTCAGATCTGGGAGGCTCATGAATGCGTGAGAGAAAACTGTAACAGGAACTGCCAGTGGCCTCTGGAATCTCCTCTTACAAGAAGATAAAGATGAACAGGATCCTCACTACTTCCAGCACTGAATACAGAATTCAGCCTCCTTTTCTCTCATTCAGTACTTCACATGTAAATCACCCCCACATTCACAAGCAAACCAGAAGTCCTATAAACCTGCATTTCCCAAACATTTTGGAACAACGGACCACTGTCAAGTCTGAAAATTTCTCACCGGTCGGTCCCCATCCACCCTTTTAAATGAAAAAAAGAGGCCCAGCGTGAGCAAGCCACATACAGACTACCATGGTCTCCAGGGCAGTTTGGAACTGCTATAAACAAATCAGATTATTTCTCCTATGAGTTGGGATGGCAGTTTACTTGTATTGCTAGTTGTTCTCTCCTGCCACCTACACATGTACACAGGAGCACTTTTGCTATGCTGATGGATTAGGGAAGGGGAAGACAGACGCTAACTCAAAAACCTGCAAAAATCATTACTATTTTGAAGCATTTGGAATGGGATATTTAAGGCTTTTCACTACATTTCCCCTTAGTCTTAAGCACTTAAAGTTCCTTAACTTAAAAAGGGAAACTACTGCAAGTTCAAAGGAAACTAAGCTATCTGTATGATTAGTAATTGAGGAACAAATCTAGTTCTGACACTTTAGTCTTCAACTCATAACAGAAACATATCTGGATCCAGATAAAGATCTGGAATAGTCTCCCAGTAGGTGTGGTGCAGGCACCTACCCTGGAGATCTTCAAGAGGAGACTGGATGCACACCTTGCTGGGGTTACTTAATCCCAGCAATTTTTCCTGCCCAGAGCAGGAGGTCTGAACCCAATGATCTCACAAGGTCCCGTCCAGCCCTAAACTTCTGCGAATCTGTGGGTGGTTCCCCACTTTGCCCACCCCTAAGGCCAGTTCTATTT